TTACAAAATTTAATATGAAACGCTCTTGTATTTGGATAATTACATTTCGTATTGTTAATGTATAGATTTCTTTTACGTTCTTAAGATATTTTTATTCCTTGTGTTCACAGTCATACTTTAGCTTGCCGATACTTTTATATTAAATTGGAAAACTAGCATCAAACATCAAACACAGTGGTCTAGCGGTTAGAACGCTGGCCTTGTAATCCTGGGGTCTCGGGTTCGATTCCCGGCGGTGCCCGAATTTATAACTTGTGTTGGGCAAGGCCGTGGTCTAGGCAACACGGAGTTTTCCTCCGGGGGCTTCCCCGGTTTCTCCGTGGCATCCCAACAATTACTCCATTCACACACAGAAGAAGGCAATGGCAAACCACTTCTGGATCATCTGCCAAGAACGTATATGAACAGGTCCCAGTCCGAGAAAAGGATGGAAGGATCCTGTTTATATGGACCTGTCATCAGACAAAACACTAAATAATAATAATAATAAAAATGAATGAAACTTATTGTTGATACCACTGTCTCTTTAAACACATTCCCATGTTTCATTCTTTAGAAGAATATGAAATTGCACAATTGTTCCATTATTTGCTTTTTCTGTTCTCTGCTCCAAAGGTAATAAGTTACATGCTGTAGCAATCAATGTACCTGTCATTATAAAATAATAATAACTTTTAAACATTTTACACCAAAAAGGCTTATTAATGCATTATCTATATTGAGACTATTTAGGAAGCGTAGAATGATCAGATCAACTTTTCTACATTCTGTCATGCAAAAGCAGAATAATTATCCGAGCATCATTACAGACTAAACCCTCATCCTGCGGGGGGTTCACATTCCTCGAAAGCGGCGCGCTCGATGAATCTGCGTCGGACGAACCTAATACTGTATAGATTAATGTAATTTCGAGAATGTGGGCGTGGATATTAAAAAAAAGGGGGCTGAAACAATATTTATTTACGAAGCAACTGTGCAAATATTAAAACATCATCGGAATGATAAGTATTACAGTAAAATATCAACGGAAAGTTAAAATTTAGAATAAAATATTTTCCTAAAAACCAACTGCTGTGCTCATACCACGGCTCAACCTATGTAAATATTTATTTTTTTATCTAATGTCATAAAATTACATATTTCTTTGCTTCATTATTATATTTACATGGGAAATGATCTAGATAGGTTGTATTGATAAATGATCTAGCTTCGTTATTTGTTTTTTTGTGTTTCTTTAACGTTTTATATTTATATTAGGTGGATTATTTGTTTTTATTTATATTTCTTCATTTATTTTTTTTTGAATAATATTGTTTCTATTTTGGGTTTGCCTGTATTTGGATGTTATATTTAATAATGTATGTGTTTCAATAATCTTGTTGTGTAATATTTTTTTATTATTATTTCATTATTATTGTATGTATTATCAGTGTTTGCCTGTTATTCGCTTCTTGCCGTTGGCAACACTTAAATAGATTAATTGAATCGAATTCCATAATGCATTCTAAGAGGAATATCATAAACAGTAAAACAATGGACTAAAATATGACAGACGTTAAGACGCTAACATCGAAAGCGATATTTAGACCACGCGTTGCATGCTGTTCTATGACGAAGAGGAGGGGGGGAAGACGCGGGAGGCAGAAATTGCGACGAGAGAGTTGAGCTGAATATTGTCGTCCTTACATATTTTGAATAAAACAAACCAAATTGATTATCAAATACTCACGCATAAGCTAAACAGTCTTTAAATCTTTAAAACGCAGTGACAAGAGTGTTTCGTGGACCGCGTATAATTAAATTTTCACACGTATAACTGAATCCGCATTGGACAAATCCTAATTCGATTTGGGTTTAATGTATAAGTCAAACTGTTCCGTGGCAATTCTTATTATCCACATTGTAAATAGTTATTTAAATTTAAAATATTTTATTGAGATGCATGTGTTTCGTTTGGGATACAAATCCAAAACAATATTATTATAATTATTATCATCCCATCTCTTCACCACGTTATGGGGTTTGTACTTCCATGTACTCGAGACAGACCTTGTCCCTAAGGCACATAGTGCAGCAGCTATTTCCGAAATACATTTTGTTTTGACGTAAATACGCCTACAATTTAGGGTCAGTGTCATTCGGCAAAAATGTAACGAAAAAGTGTAACTTCATTGTTATGTTACCTAGAGAACGTCATTGTTATATTACCTAGTAAACGTCATTGTTATGTTACCTGGGAAACGAAAAAGTGTAACTTTATTGTTATGTCTATATTTTCGGGTCAGTGTCATTCGGCAAAAAGTGAAACGAAAAAGTGTAACTGCATTGTTATGTTACCTTGGAAACGTCAATTGTTTACTCGGCATTATTGTTACCTAGGAAACATTACATTACTCAGCATTAGTGGTACCTAGAAAACGTCATCTGTTTAAACGGCATTGTTGTTACCTATAAAACATTTCATTACATTACATTACCTTACTTTACCTTACATTACATTACATTACTTTACCTTACATTACCTTACCTTACCTTACATTACATTAACTTACCTTACCTTATATTACATTACATTACCTTACAGTACATTACCTTACCTTACCTTACCTTACCTTACAAAGCCTTACATTACCTTACATTACCTTACCTTATCTTACCTTACATTACTTTACATTACATTCAGCTACCACAGACTTATCTTAAGCGTAATTAATTCAAGTTAAATAAGCAATGTCTTAATCAAACTTTACGCAATTATGAAGCATGTATAAAGGAAATATTTAGAATAAAGCCAATATATAAACTTCCTTTCCGTATAGACGTACGAGGTGCGATCGGAAAGTTTC